TTGTGAGGCTGCATTTTAAAAGGGAGAGCGATCGGAAAAGAGGGCTAACGAGAGGACATGAAGTCTCGCCGCATTTCACACCTTTGTGTTGTCTGCTGCTCCGAAATCGCTGAATTGCCCTCCCGTCACTGCAGCCCGTTTCCACTGCAGCTTTGCTCCTTTGCAAATGTTACTTCTCTTACTTCAATGCCTTGAAGTTTTTGTGAGGCTGCATTTTAAAAGGGAGAGCGATCGGAAAAGAGGGCTAACGAGAGGACATGAAGTCTCGCCGCATTTCACACCTTTGTGTTGTCTGCTGCTCCGAAATCGCTGAATTGCCCTCCCGTCACTGCAGCCCGTTTCCACTGCAGCTTTGCTCCTTTGCAAATGTTACTTCTCTTACTTCAATGCCTGTCACTGTATTATTTGCGTTTGTTTTGACAGTTAATGCTCAAAAACACTTAAGTCAATGGGAATTTTTTCTGAGAGTCTCTTACAGCCCTTTTATTTTTACTGTTATTGCCCAAGACTCTGTAGGGCATAATATGCAGGCGCTCAGACTCATGAAAAACCCCCCACTTCCCAGTCTTTTATATAGCCCCAGGCTATTGGGTGGGCAGCTGTTTCCCATTCACCAGTTAGGGGCAGGTTTTCTCTAGCCAGCTCCAATTTACTTCCCTTAATGGGAGCTGGCACAAGAGAGGGCTGAATCAGGAGCCCTTGGCCTGGATGCCATCACACATGTCTCACCAGGGCTGTGTCCAGACTCAGGGGTTTTTTCGGGAAAAGTAGCCTTTTTCCGAAAAAACTTCACCTGCGTCTAGACTGCAGCCGCGTTCTTTCGAAATTAAATCGAAAGAACGCGGCTTTTCTTTCGACGGCGGTAAACCTCATTTCACGAGGAAGAACGCCTTCTTTCGAAAGTGCTTCTTTCGAAAGAAGGCGTTCTTGAATGTAAATAGGGCTTCTTCGAAAGAGAGCATCCAGACTCACTGGGTGCTTTCTTTCGAAAAAGCAGCTTGCTCTTTCGAAAGTTCCACGTGCAGTTTAGATGCTCTCTTTCGAAAGAGGCTCTTTCAAAAGTATCTTTCAAAAGAGCCTCTTTCGAAAGAGGCTTGCAGTCTAGACATAGCCTGTTTGAAACAAAGCAGATCAGCAGCTATGAGGGAAGACACTGCTAAACCCTCCTGAAACCTGCCCTAGCCTCATGTGCATCACTCCATGGCTACATCTACACTGCAGGCTTTTTGCGCAAGAAGGCTGTGTCTACACTGGGCCACTTATTCCGGAAAAGCAGCAGCTTTTCCGGAATAACTTGCCAGCTGTTTACACTGGCCACTTTCTTTTCCGGAAAAGCAATGACGATCTACTGTAAAATTGTCAGTGTTTTTCCGGAAAAACTATGCTGCTCCCATTCGGGCAAAAGTCCTTTTCCGGAAAAACTGTTCCGGAAAAGGGCCAGTGTAAACAGCACAGTAGTCTTTTCCGCAAAAAAGCCCCGATCGCGAAAATGATGATTGGGCTTTTTTCCGGAAAAGCGCGTCTACATTGGCCACGGATGCTTTTCCAGAAAAAGCGCTTTTCTGGAAAAGCATCCTGCCAATGTAGACGCGCTTTTTCCGGAAATACTTATAATGGAAAACTGTTCCGTTTTAAGCATTTCCGGAAAAGTGTGCCAGCGTAGACATAGCCGAACTGTTTTGCGGAAGAGTTCTTGCGCAAAAAATCTTCCACAAGAGCACATCCACAATGCCATGTGCTTTTGCACAAGAGCATCCATGGCAGTGTGGACGCTCTCTTCCGCAAGAAAGCTCTGATGGCCATTTTAACCATAGAGGCTTCTTGCACAAGAAATTCATGTTGCCTTTCTACACTGCCTTCTTGTGTAAGAGCTCTTGCGCAAGAGGGCTTATTCCTCGTGAGGAGAGGAATAACTCTTGCGCAAGAAGCCCTGTTTTCGGATGCTTTACTGTAAATTTACTTGTGCAAGAACACGTGTGCAGTGTAGACACTCTGCAAGTTTTTGCACAAGAACAACTGTTCTTGTGCAGAAAGCCTGTAGTGTAGATGTAGCACATTTGTATACAGAATGGAGAACAGAAAGTCCAACACCAGAACCACATTGAAGGCTGGGACACAAACTAGGGAAGCACAGTCTGATGGGAAAACCCTGCTCCAGATGCTACTAATGACCCCTTGCCTACACACACCCAGACCAATAATGAATCAGGCTAATTCTAGGAAAAAGTCCTCTAGGGTATCCAAAATACTGAAGCTGCCTAACTGGATTATGAGGTCCCTGTAGGGCAGGGATGGGAACTGTACGGCACACAGGCTGGGATGCTCTGGACTCCCACCTGGCCCCTGCAACAGGGCAACTCAGCATTGGCACTCCAGCCATCTGGGGGAGGGGCTCTGAGGTTTGCTACTCCCTCCACGCCACATGGCTGGACCCAGCCTGAGATGGGATAGCTAATTCCCAATTTGCACTGGGGGCAGGTGGTAACTCTGCTGTAGCTGCCCTGCTTATGGACTAATTGACTAGTTGATGGAAAATCCATCCATTAGTTGATTAAATTAAATTTAACATCCCTAGTCTAAACTCATGCCTCTGAATTTGCTACCCACTGGACTAGAGGGTGTGAAATGCAACTCTTGACCAGTAAATTGCCAGAGGATGATAGTGCCCCAGACCTGGGTGGGCAAAAGGGCCTCTGTGGACCAAATCTGGACCACCAAACAGGTTGATCCAGCCCATGGAAGCCCTGCTGCTCCTTCAGCCCCAGGCCAATGAGGGCCTAGGGACAGAGGAATATACTACTCTTAGGGCTCGTCTACACTGGCCCCTTTTCCGGAAGGGGCATGTTAATTTCAGCTATCGTAGTAGGGAAATCCGCGGGGGATTTAAATATCCCCCGCGGCATTTAAATAAAAATGTCCGCCGCTTTTTTCCGGCTTTTAGAAAAGCCGGAAAAGAGCGTCTACACTGGCCCCGATCCTCCGGAAAAAGCGCCCTTTTCCGGAGGCTCTTATTCCTACTTTGAATTTTTATTTAAATGCCGCGGGGGATATTTAAATCCCCCGCGGATTTCCCTACTACGATAGCTGAAATTAACATGCCCCTTCCGGAAAAGGGGCCAATGTAGACGTAGCCATTCTCATCATTTTAGCATCTAGTTTAATAATGCTAACACACAAGTGAACCAGACTGGTTCCCAGCCAGGCATTTGTCGGTATTCACTGAGCCCAGGCCTTGGCATGAGTTTTCATTGGATCTGCCAGATCGGGGCCAGTGTAGACGCTCTTTTCCGGCTTTTCTAAAAGCCGGAAAAAAGCGGCGGACATTTTTATTTAAATGCTGCGGGGGATATTTAAATCCCCCGCGGATTTCCCTACTACGATAGCTGAAATTAACATGCCCCTTCTGGAAAAGGGGCCAGTGTAGACGTAGCCTTAGAGTCAATCCTAGTGGTTAACTCTAAGCGCTGTGTACTGGAGGGCAGGGAGCAAGACACTGTGCTATCCAAAATACAGCTGTCACCTTTCTCTTCTGACAGATGATCAATGAGGTATCAGCTCCGCTGAACCTTTGCCCACAGTCTATGCAGTAATAAGGGTTCTGCCTTGTGTGAACTTCTCATGTGCAATACTGAGTGAGCATTCACTAAAGCATTTCTCACAGCCAGAGCAGTAATACACAGTTTTCCATCTATTTTTTCCCACACATGTGCAGAATGAGTTTTGTTAGAGGAACCAATATGCAGGGAATGTGTAACATCATCTCAATATTCGTGCACAGAACAAAGTTCATATGGTAGAAGTGGGGTTCAAGGGCTTGGATTGTGAGGAGGCTCAGGGCTGGGGCAAAAAGTTGGGGAACAGAGGTGTGGGAGCTGGTTCTGGGGTGGGGTCAGGGGCACAGGGCTGAGGTACAGGTTTGAGGTGTGGAGGGGTGAGGGCTCTATCTGAGGGGGGTGATCTCTGGGGTGAGGCAAGGAAGGAGGAATTTGAGATGAAGGCCACTGAACGGCTACTTGGAGAGAGAAGACTCCTATCAGCTCTCTCCCCCTACCTCAGATGCTCCTCCCTGCCATAGCAGCTCTGGGGCTGGGGCCATGAGATAGATAACTGTCCATCTGCCATTGCAGGTCTGGGCCAGTGTTGAGACCAGTGGGTAGAAGCATCTCTCCCCACCACAACACTAAGTGCTTGCATGGCACTAAATAGCCTACTGCATGGTCATATGGCCATATGGCTTAAAGGGAACTTAGGTTATGGGGTTTCTCTCCTGTGTGGATTCTTCTATGTCTATCAAGGTCTGAGCTCTGAAATAATCCTTTCCCAGAGTCAGACAAGTTATAGGGTGGCATTAGCAGGAAAGTTGTGAGCAAGAAATGAGAAATAATCTTTCCACTCAACTGTGTGCTGATTAGTCTTCAACTGCAGTAATGTGTCCAGTTTGGGGTGCCAGATTTCAAGAAAGATGTGGAGGAATTAGAGAGGGTCCATAGAAGAGCAACAAAAATGACTAAAGGTCTAGGAGACCTATGAGGGAGGACTGAAAGAATTCGATTTGTTTAGTTTGGAAAGAGAAGACTGAAATGAGACATGATAGTAATTTTAAAGTACCTAAAAGGATGCTACAAGAAAGAGGGGAAAAGATGTTTCTCCTTGACCTCTGATGATAGAAGCAGCAGCAAGGGGCTTAAATTGCAAGGGAGGATTAGGTTGGACATAAGGAGAAACTTCCTGTCAGGGTAGTTAAACACAGGAATAAATTAGGGACGTTGCAGAATCTTTATTACGGGAGATACCTAAGAGCAACTTAGACATCTGTCAGGGATGACAGATGGTGCTTGGACCTGCCGTGAGGACACGGCACTGCACCTGATGACCTCTCAAGGTCCCTTTCAGTGATAATGCTATATGATTTCATTGTATGATGCTCCTGCGTAAATTGTATGATGATAGTTAACATATGAGCCCCGACTCAAGCTTTTCCCACATTGAGAGCAATTTACCTGTATGTGGATTCTCCTATGTTTAACAAGATTTGAGCGTTGACTGAAGCTTTTCCCGCAGTCTGAGCAGTTGTAAGGTTTCTCTCCTGTGTGGGTTCTCCAATGTTTAACAAGGTCTGACTTCTCCCTGAAACTTTTCCCACAGTAAGAGCAGTTGAAGGGTTTCTCTCCTGTGTGGTTTCTCCTATGTCTAACAAGCTGTGAGCTCTCACTGAAGTTTTTCCCACAGTCAGAACAGCCAAAGGGCTTCTCTCCTGTGTGGATTTTCCTATGTCTAACAAGGTCTGACCTCTGACTGAAGCTTTTCCCACAATCAGAGCATTGGAAGGGCTTCTCTCCTGCATGAGTTCTCCTATGTCTAACAAGGTGTGAACTCTCACTGAAGTTTTTCCCACAGTCAGAACAGCCAAAGGGCTTCTCTCCTGTGTGGATTTTCCTATGTCTAACAAGGTCTGACCTCTGACTGAAGCTTTTCCCACAATCAGAGCATTGGAAGGGCTTCTCTCCTGCATGAGTTCTCCTATGTCTAACAAGGTGTGAACTCTCACTGAAGTTTTTCCCACAGTCAGAGCAGCTAAAGGGTTTCTCTCCTGTGTGAATTCTTCTGTGTCTAACAAGATCTGACCTCTTACCAAAGCTTTTCCCACAGTCAGCGCACTTGAAGGGCTTCTCTCCTTCATGGATTCTTTGATGCTCAACAGGAGTTGCACAGTCACTGTAAGCGTAGGGTGCCTGTTGATGGGGGATTTTCTGTTGAAAGTTTACTGTGTTTCTTTCCACCCTTCTGCTCCTATGACTGGATTTACCCTGTCCCTTCTCTGGATGGTTTCCCTGCTGCGTTTCTGGGCTATGCAGACTCTGACAGGTTTCTCCCTGCTCAGGACTCTGGGAAGCATTCCCTTCGGATTTTCCCAGTAACATCCCACATGGAGCCACATGCTCTG